TCTCATTCACCCCTTCCTCTCTGCTAGTGCCTATTGTCCCTGTCCTTACATCTGACACCAGGAGCCCCTACAGTTGCAGCTGATTCTCACTCTTTTACCTCTTTCTCTTTCTTGCATATGCATTTCTTTGTCATCTGCTATCTATCTCTAAAGTCACTGATTCTCCGAAATCTGTAAACTTCTAGGAAAGCTCCATCTTTCCTAGACAATGCAAGCCAGTCAATGGAATTCTTTCACTCTTTTTTTTTTTAAATGAAATGACCTTTTGGTAAGTGACCCATGTACAGACATCTTGCTTACTGTCTGTACCTGGTACAGACAGAACTGCCTGGCCCATGGTGGGTGCCATAGGTACTTGATGAGAGAACTCTTGGAGGGCCCTTTTGGACCTGTGACTTCTTGAAATCATGTGTACTTGTAGCTAGGTGCTACAAGTATTTTTTTACTTCCAAAAGGGAGGTAAAATGTTTCTAAGCTCCTTTTGAACCTGGGGTTTTCCTGGAATTCTAAAGGATCTAGAAAGATAGAGTCAGCATAAATAAAATTCAGGTGTAATTATGATGTACGTGGTGTCATTCAGACAAGTGACGAGTGACGTCAACCCAACAACTGCACTTAAAAAATAAATCTATCTCCAGGGAGCCGTCTCAAGGAGAGGCGGGAAATCTCTGTGCTCTGAGATCTCTTTCTCAGGTTGATGCTTGAGGTTTATCGAATGTTCTAAGCCTGCTTCAAACAAACAGACCAATACTGTCTCCATACACCCCTAGAATTTAAAAAAAAAAATGCCAATGATCAGTATTGCACACTTGTGATTTCTGTTGCTTTAAGCTACTCAGTTTTAACAAACAAATGAGATTTTTTTTTTTTTTTTGGATAGGGGAATCAGTCCATCAGAATAACAGATTCTTGAATGGGAAAGGACTTTAGAGGCCATGTGGTCTGACCTACATAATACAGGAATTCCTTCCACAGAATCCCTGACAGATGGCTGTACACTTGTGTTTTGAATACTTTTTAGTGTCAGGAAATGTGTTATTTCAAGAGGCAATGTATTTCATTGTTGGACAGTTTTAAAAGTTAAAAAATAGCATTTCGCACGTTAAGGCAAAGTTTCCCTGTTTCTAATTTCTACCTGCTGATCCTAGAATATTCATTAAATGCTGTTTAAAAAAGTCTACAGTTGCATTTTAGCATAGACTGATCAAACACATAGCCATGCAGTGTTTGTTGATGTTGGAGAGTCATCACTGTGTGCTGCTTTGGAGGGCAGAGGAGGTTCTGAGGTGGTCCCTGCCTGTGGGGAGCTCATAGGCCAATTAAGAGACAGGATTAAACACACACTAAATTAACTGACAAGTGATGATCAGATGACAGGCTTTCCCCATGCTGCCTCACGTATGAAGGTCTTAAAGAAGAAAGTTAGGAAATGTCAGTAACTTGAAATATGAGCATGATCTTGCCAGGCAGTAAATGCATGAACACAGGTCCAGGGGATTCTAGGGAGGTCATGGAGACACCGCCACCCTCATAGAAACAGAGGGCAGGAACTCGAAAGCTCTGGAGAGGTCTTTATTTTAACCCGTCAATCAAAACTTCTGTGATTGTTTCTTTTCATTCTTTTTTTAATTTTTTTTTTTTTCTGGTGGTGCTGGGGAACAAACTCAGAGCTTCAGGCATTGGAGGCAAGCACTCTACCACTAAACCACCTTGGCAGCCCATTATTTCTTCAATCATAAAAGAAATGCATGTCTGTAATTAAAATGTAAACAGGGGCTGGGGATCTAGCTCAGTTGGTAGAGTGCTTGCCTTGCATGCACAAGGCCCTGGGTTTAATCCCCAGCATCGCCAAAAAAAAAAGGAAAAGAAAAAAATATATATATAAACAATACAGAAATGTCTTAAAAAGAAAATGAAGGGGAGTAAAAAAATTTTTGTTCCAGTTTGCATGGAACCACTTAATGCATATTCTAGTGGTCACCAAACAATGACTCATGAGCCCAAACCCTAGCCCATCACTTGTTTTCTTATGGCTCACATGATCAGAATGATTTTTTTTATATTTAAATTGTTGGGGGAATAAAATCAAAATAATAATAGTTTTTCATGGTGCATGAAAGTTGTGTGGGACTCTAGTTTCAGTGTTCATAAACAAAGTTTTGAATTTTGATCACAAATATTTGTGGGAGTTTGTTTCCTCTCTTGTTGTATCAATATCTTCATAAGTAAGATCACTTTTGCCCTTCAGCCCTGGAAGCCTAAAATATTGACTAAATGGCCCTTTACAGTAAAGATTTGCTGGTCCCTGAATATTCATTAAAAAAAAATAAGTTTGGATAAATATGTACACATAAGCCTGATCTATTTATAAAAGTGAATGAGCCAAGTTGCAGTGAAGTTCTTTAGATCTGCAGTGATTGAATTACGTAAGAGGTAAGAGTCGCGGTTGGTTGTGAGGGTCAACGGGGACATGAAGTTGGATGGCCCAGCAGGAAACCCAGGGATCAGGAATGTGGCATCGGCAGTAATTTAGGTGTGAGGTGGTTTGGCCCTGGAAACCTAACCAAGAGATAGTCCAGTCCCTATTTCAGACAGAAGTGGGAGATCCAGATGTGAGATATACCAGAATCGTCCAACGGGCATCCCGAGGCACTGAGGGAGGCCAGGTGGGGAGTAGTCAAGGTATCCCCCATTTCCAAGCCGGTGCTGGGAGAATCCTGGCACCTCGGGAAATGTGAAGAATTTTGGAAGTGACTGCATGAGGAGACAAGTTTCAGAATTGGAAGTTTTCTATCCAACACCAGGGCCACCAGTTGTTGGTGGCTATAGTTCCTATCACCACCTGAAGAATGCAAAGCCCCTCACGGTGTATTTGCCTTTTGTGGTTGATTTAATAAAATACCACTTTCATGTCTTCAGTAGGGGTGATCTGTAGGCTCTTTTCAGTAACATATAATTCATAACTACATAGCTGCCCCCCACCCGGCCCCCAGCAGCTCCACCTTGTGGATCCCTGTCTAGGGAAGACCCGGAGCGGCTTTCACCTTCAGTGTTGGCATTGGCTAGGTAGGTGCAGGTGGCAAATACAGCCTTTCACTCAACTTACACTTGAACCATGGCTGTTTTTTTTTTTTTTAACAGGTTTTATTCATGCCTCCCATAGACTGATTTTTTTCTTAACCCATTTTGTGAAAGCAACTGATACATGAGAAAGTTCAAGAAGAATGTTAGGAGGGCCATCAACAACTCTGGGACAGTAACACAAATTAACTCAGGGATGAGGCCTCTGCTAGAGGAATGAGGTTGACTCCACTGTGATTCAGAGAGAACCACCTGCCACTTGTGGCCCAGGGGCTAAAAGAGGGCTTTAAACCAGGAGGCCTGATCCCTCGGACCTCCACTGTCTTGTGCTGTGACTTTGGGTAAACTGTACAACTTCCTCTGTCTCCCACGTGAGAAATGAGAATATCACAATTTAACACCCAGTTATTCCAAGTAGATTGTTTGTGAATCAGCAAAATATCTGCAAAGCATTTCAGTCATCCAGAAGAAAGAGTGATATCTGAAGTTTCTGCACTACTAGTGTTCTGTTCAATGTGTACCTATCTTGACGGAAGACTCCTTCGATGTGCTTTGCCAAAACCGAAACAAGTTGTACCTCCTGACCCATTAATTTTATAACTCTCCTGACTTATGCTCTTGGCATCTTGGTGTGGTTTTAAACTTAGTGCCTATTGGGGAGGAAGTCCTGGATTCTGTTTGTGATATTGTTTCTTGTCCTTCCTGGAGAAAAGAATCCAACACTTGTAAATGTTATTGGCATCAGCATACAGACATTTTCTCCTGCTTTTCAGAATATGGTTAATTTTGACTTTCATAATTAAATGGATTTTTTCCTCAACAAGAGGGAATTTCTGCCATCTAACGAATGCACAGAATAAAAGAAATACAGACTAATTTAAAATGCTATTCTATAATTTGTGCAAGTAGAGTTTTTAAATACCCCTATTCCTTGTACCCATGCTTTGCTAACGTATTTTTCTAAGTAGAGCAAAATTCAGTGAATCCTTTCATTTTTCCCAGAATAATTTAATCAAGTATCAGGATAACACAGTGGTTTCTCCTTAGCAGTGACTCTGAAGAAGGCATGAGCTCTTGGAAACTGCTTTCCACTGTCCTCTACGCAGTCTAGATCAAGTCTCTTGATAGATGGGTGTATGTTGTGTCTCCACTGAGGAGACCTAAATTACAGGCCTATCTCTGAGGTCTGCCTGAAAGTGAAGGAACCACAAATGTCCCCAGTCAACTGTTTTCCCAGAGTAGCCAGAAATGTGTCCATCAGTGAGAACCCGGTAGGTGATCTCAGGATGTACAGCTGTGCCCCGAGCAGTAGGTGTCACTGTAGTCAGTGGCTTCTGCTACTCAGTACTTAAGGGGTTAATCGGGTCTGGTGTAGCAAGAAGAAAGGGGCCCATCTGTGTCCTGCAGGGTGCTGGTCTTTGTCTCCAGGGCACAGTTGACCCCAGTGGAAGACCCAAGTGGGCTCCATTTTTCCCTAGGGCGGGCAGAGGGATCCTTTGCCATCTGTATTTTTGACGCTAAGGCTGGCTCTTGGGTGTTATGGAGTCGGGTGGGTTGGAGTGGAGGCACTGGTGAGATGATCCTTCTAACCTTTGGTAGGGAGACCTAGAACCAGGGGAAGGGGAGGAATCTATGAAGAGAAGCAGGAGAATCTGGATTAGCCTAGGTGTTCCCTGGTTACTGCTGCTGAGTGGTTACATTTGGGCAGTGAGAGGGGGCAGAACTTCCAT